ACACACACACACACACACACACACACACACACACACACACACACACACACACTGCAGTTTTAACAAGTCTGCTAAGAGTCGTTAAAACTGTGTGAAAATGCAGAAAAGTCAACTTTGCACAGGTTTGATTTTCTTATCTCAAACTTAGATGTTTACATTTTAAACTTGTGTGGAGGTTGGAGGGAAAAGTAACAATGTGCCATTGTGCTTATTTAAATAAATAAATGCATATAATGATATGCAAACATATATATCTGCATCTGCATTTAAAGCTGGAATTTTCACTAATTATTTCCATTAATTAGTGATCAACACCTACTACCTTTCAAACAATGTTTAAGGATTTTAATAACATACGAGCACAGAGGCAACATGCTGCCGTTTGATTTCCAAGCGGTCCCGTTTCCACCCCTGAAAGTGTGGCCAAAGTATAACAGCAGCAGAGGCTGTTCTTGGGTGCATGTCTTCAGGGACAGCCTGCTAACTAGCGGCCGACACGTCGACCCGCGCCCACGGTCAGAAGAGCTGGAAACTCATCATTAGATCATTTTAATGAGAGGTGAGAGCGCCGCCTCCAACCGGTGCTCTGCTTCATGGCTGGCCCAATTAGCGCAGATAATCAACCCAAATCATCACCCAGCCAGAGCCTCCGCTTACACTCCCCACCCCACCCCCAGCCATATTACCTGCCTCATTGTGGGCCTTAATTAGACATTACTCATCAATGGCAGCCTGTGATCAACACACTCTCGCACACATGCAAACCAGCACTTCAAATAAATAAATTAAAAACAAAAAACAGTCATTCTGGTGTTCAAGCGCGTGAGCATGTCCATAAACACAAGAACGAAGACACAACAGACCCTTTTCATACCGCCTTAAATAAGGGTGGTGGGGGATGGTTAAGGTTACAGATATAACCAAGGTTCTCTGATTAGCATGTCTCACTCTTGGAACCGCCCATTAAAGGAGCTCGACACCAGGACGGGTGCTGTGCCAACTTATACAACCTGATGGTGGTGGGGGGGGAGCTAGCTTCTGCTACTATAAGCCATGACAAATAACTGGCCACCTGATCCAGAACTATCCTGCCACCTGTGGTCTGGCTTTGGGTCCTTGGACTACAGGTTTCTGGGACCTCTGGACAAACAGGGGAGAAGGCAGAGCCCAGGACATCCCCACCTGTGTGCATCACTGGGACTAAAGCAGGCGAGAGCTGAGGCTTCTTTGGAAAGTAGAGTTTCAGTGCCTCATCAACACTGTGCTTCTCCTCACCGCTGTCTTTACATGGAGGTGTTGGGCGAAGAGTAAAGGAGGTCCTTTACTAATAGAATAGGATGCTGCGTTCTCTCCTGAAGATCCAGGACTTACGCCCAAGTAGCCTGTACGACCACTACTGTACGCAGGAAACATGTTATAATACAGCATCAAGAATAAAGGGAGGACTGTAGACAATGATGTGGCTTCACCATCTGTCTCCATAATCTGGTCTAATAAAACGTTTGAATGTTGTTTGAACTGTGCGACTTCTGCTAGAGATGGCACGATACCACTTTTTAATGCCCGATACATCATGAATTTGGATATCTGCCGATACCAATATGAATCCGATATAACCTGTTTTTAATCAATAAAACTGTTTTTTAATATCTTGCTGCTTTTTGTATAAGTTCATCTCAAGTTAAAAAAAACAAAAAAACACTAAAGCTATCTGTTAACCTGTATGCAAAAAATACACACCCAAAATATTTCATAGTTCAGCAAAACTGATCAATCTAATAAACTTAAACCTGCTCCATCCTCCCTACTCTGGTATTTTAAAGAGTAAGCAACCTAACTAATAGGGTCTAAAACTCCCAGCAAAAAAAATAAAAAAAAAAAAAAAATAGGGAACCACCCCCACCTCCACCTCATGATGCTTAATCGACGTAATCAACTTTAATTTGATGCAGTGTGAAAAAAAATGCACAGAAATAAATTATTTTTCAAGAAATAATTAAATAGATTCAACATCTTTCTTCAACAGAACTGCACAGATGGTACCTTCAAGGAAAGTACTATAGCTTACTAGGGTATATTAGACTTAACAGTTACTATATACAGTAATGGACTTCTATACATTTTACATCAGATTAAAACTTTGGGTGTAAGATTCAGATAATTATTTATTAAAAGCTAGACATTTTAAATGAGAATAAGAAAGAAAAGTATGTCTTTGTGCCCCCTTTTCCCTGTTCATGCCCTATCGGCCCCCCTGGCTAAACTTTGCTAGATCCGCCCCTGCACAGTTACCAGCCGTCAGCTACTAGAAAAAGATCCTGGTGTAGAAAGTAATATTAAATAAATTCTAACAACAGCTTATCAAGCTTAAACGTGCTGCTGTTGTTCAGCCGCTGGTTTCCTCTTTCTGGTGCAAAGTGGGCCAAAAACAAACAGAGAGACGGACTCGCGACAGAAAAGCCGATCAGCTGATCATTGATCAGTTTCATGATTGAAGTAGCAGCAGGAGAGGGAGGGAGGAGGCAGTCGCTCCATATATCGGTTGTTAAGCTTAACGTGGGAACGCTTTACAAACATTCAGAGATGAACTTACACACTTGCTTTACTTCTCTCTGGGATGAGATGTCGGTTTGGTAGCGAGGCTACAAACACACACAGCCGCTCTATCAGTGACCACACTGCTCCGACGTGCTACGGTTATGGGTCGAGTTACGCCGTGTCGCAAGTTTTGTGAGGTGCTTTTTTGATATTTAATAGATCGGATTACATTTTTTATTTCTCTCCGATATCCGATCCAGTAATTTACGTCAGTATTGGACCGATCGGATCGGTCCATCTCTAATTTCTGCAGCCGTCAAACTAACATTTTATAACCTGCGTTTGGCTGGTAGGTAAGCCTGTCTGTGTGCGCTCACCTGCCCTGCATGTTAAGATCAAGGATATTTCATGCTCTCGTCCGACCCAGGCGGGCCTCACACACTCGCCCAACTGCACAACACAATTCGCTGGTAAGCTAAGTGAGGAAAAGGAATGAAACAAAGACATTTTCCCAGGCAGCATAAATGGGTCGTTCTTTTGATGTACTGCTTCCCATGACATCATACTGTATTACTACTTGCTAGAACAGCGGTCCCCAACCCCCGGCCCACGGCCCGGTTCCCATCCATGAGTCGTTTGGTACCGGGCAGCGAGAGTTGAGGCTCGGGTGTGAAATTGATGGTTTTCAGGGTTTTTATTGTTATTTTTTTATTGTTTTTATCATTAACTCAGTTTTCCTGGGTCTTTTCCCGTTTGCTATGAATAAATCTTTTCTTTGGTACCAGTACTGATTTTATTTTGTTGTATTTATCCACGACACCTTAAAGGCCGGTCCACGGAACAAAAAAGGTTGGGGACCGCTGTGCTAAAGTACCTCTTGGCCTGTTGGTAATTTTTGTTTTTAGTTTAGTTTTGTTGGTAAAGCTGAAGCTAAAGCTAACCTTTGTAAGCAACAGCTTTGCTGCTTTAGGACAAAAGAAGTCCAGTCCCTACTCACATGAGCATCTTTGGCACCAGCACCGTTGTTGGCCTCATGGCGAGGTCACGTAGGATATTTTTAAATAGCGAGACAGTAATGGATTCTTCAAAAGAGGAAACTCTGAGGAAAGAACCACGACGGGACCGAACGAGGGCCAGCTTTAATGAAGCTTTCACGGTTACTCAGAATTCTGATTTCGCCAACATTTGGAAATCGAGTCATTTACTTGTTCAAGACTCAAACAAATGTTGCTGCTTGGATTTAAAAACAAATCCAAGCCAAACTAAATATGTGAAGACAGACAAGTGAAAGTATGAAGAACAGATGATAGCGCTGCTGCAGCGCTTCGACTCTAAATGTCTCTTTGTTTCCCTCGTGCTCTCTTGGAGTACATATCAAGCATGCTTATAGACATGAAAAAAGGACGCATGCAAATACTAGAAATATGAAAAAGCTGCATTTTGCATTTTTTCCTGTTGCCGCTAAAATAATATTTACTTTCCAGTTTCCTGCAGCAGCTGTGATACACAATAAAGTGTGCTTTCTGCACTGCGAGACTGCGACCGCACACAACGGATTAATTTATTACACACCATTCCTCGACAATCTTGTTCTTATCCGCCAAGACTGATGCATAATAAATCACTGGAGTCCAAGTCCCAGTGAAACAGCACATGGCTTCGTTTTGTCAATAGGAGAAAGAGTTCATTGACTCAGTCTCTGCTGTACGTGTAGGAGCTGAGGATGGTTGATAGGAAGCAGGTTAACGTTGACAGACCCCCCCCCGCATTCTTTTGGATGATTTCTCCCACTTGCTGCTCGGAGCAGAGATGAGCTGGTGGACCGAGCAGAGAGGAAACACTGCAGGAAACGGCGAGTTTGTAAGAAGGTGAAAATGTGACATTTTAGAAGGCGGGGGGGTCTAACTTTTGTGTCTACTTATTTTAGGGTCGGTTCACTTAAGAACCAGAACAACAGTAGGTTTTTAGTAATACGAGGTAGTCCAGTTGTTATAATAAGGGCATTAAATGCAACGATTAGCCTTAAACATCATGTGACACTACAGGGTCTTTAGCTCCATAATTATAATGACGAACTCCTGAGTTTGCATGAATAACTCTGATTATTTGACTTGGCTGATTGCAGAAGCAAAGAGCTGCTATGCAGTGAATTAAAACACTCCAAAAACACAAAGTACCTGCAGAAAAGCAATTTCCTGCTGAAACGGTAACACCTCAAACTAAGGTAACACCTCAACATAACGCACGTGTGTAATATGGTCTGTCAAGTCCAACAATGTGGTTTAAATTTTACTGCCGGCGTAATGTTGACGGTGTTAAAACCGCCCATTTGGGTTGTTGTGTAGCTTCGTTCCGTTTGAGCGTTGAGACTGTTTGTTTACACCGACAAAGCCTAAAAACGGAAGCTACGATTGGCCCGTGGTTCCCTCTGTCAACGATCCCGCCGGGAATAAAGCACAAAGTGCTCACCTCGGCCGGAGAAAAGGGAAAACAAACAGGAAGCAGAATAATTAAAGAAAGACTCTAATCCCTGCACATCTGTGGATGCTGATCCATTTGTTTAATAAAAGGCAGCAGTCCGAGTTTCTAACGTGCACTTTTGTGTCGTCAGCCGGTGACGTGACGATAAAGATGTATTGCGTTAAAACAAATAACGAGAGTGTCGTCGGGTAAGAATGAGCTGGGAAAATAAAAATCCAACCATCTCCAGGACCACAGAAAACAAATGCGTGCACGTGTGTGGCCACGCCAGTCGAGTTTTGTTTGTGCGTTTCCGAGTGGATGTAGGTCACGGCCAGAGCAGCGCTCGGGTGAACCGCTGGCCTCTTTCACTTTAGTAGCGAGAGGAGTGGAGGAGATAAGCTCGCCCCATCTCCTGCGCTGGAGAGGAGGAGGAGATAAGGGCCTGTTTCCCAATGCTACCGCTGAGGCGTGAGCCAGCCGGGAGGATGCTTTGAACCGCTGCTCGCTATCTGCTCTGCCTGGGAAAATTATAAACAGAGTGTCCAGAGAAACAAAAGGTTGATTGAGGGCTGCTGTGCTGCGCTCTCGGGGGTAAATCGCACTAGTATCGTGGGTCAGAGAGCGCAAAGAAAAATCCGAGGGGCGAGAGGAAATTTTCTTCGGTGCCAGAGGTGTCTTTCCACTCGTCTCTGCTAAGTTTAGTATTACTGAAGGGATTTTGGGGGGAAAAACATATTAAGTATACATGAGTGGTTTTTAAGGGAAACCACACATGAATAAAGGATACCTGCTCGCGCTCAGGCACACAAACACACAGCAAGTAAACACACACACCACCCCGGCGGAGTTAACAAAACCTATACGAGGCGGATTTTAGATTTTCTGAGGAGCAAATTAAAATTCTGGTCCCATATTTTGATTTTATAGACACGTGGACAGGATATCGTTTTTTCTTTTTTTACACCAGATAAACCCGAGCAGAGAAACATTAAGATGTGCACTAAGAGATATCCACTGTAAACTGTTTCTGGAGGTCAGTAACCTCACATAATCCCAGGCCTCTCGCCTCTACGTTCCTGCAAATCCAGCTGACAATTTGCTGAGCGCGAGACGAGCTACCAGGCAACTTTTATCTATAAAAATAAAAACTTTCACCAATGGAAACAAGAAATGTGCTCAAAAATAACCTGATGGAAGAGGTTAGATTAACTGACCAAGTAAGCAGTCGCTCAGTGTGTGCATACAACAGCTGACGGTGCTGATCTGAGGACGAGTAACGGCCCTCTTTTATAGAACAGAATGCAAATATAGATAAAGATGTTACATTCTTTCCACTTCAGCACAGAGCGCGCACACACACACACACACACACACACACACACACACACACACACACACAGGTTTGTACCTGTTTGAAGAGCTGCAGGTTGACAGCCATGGACAGGAAGTTCTTCATGGTGCTCGAACGATGGCTCACGAAGCTTTCTTCACAGAACGTGATTGGCTCTCCCTGTTCAGAAAAACATTTTTGCTTAAAAACAACAAAACTCATTTTTGTTTGCACCAATCTGTTTTCGCACCAACGAAGCCGCAGGAAGCAGGACAGACGCGATATCCTTTTTTTTACGGCACCAGTTGTTGTTGTTTATGGAAGGATTCGTGTCATGCACATGATGTGTGGCATCGTTACACGCTGCATCTTTTAACCATCGAGTATTTCAGACGATTTCTTCATTAGTGAGCTAAAACCCAAACAGGAAGGAAGGAGGAAGAGTGGAAGTTGGGGGGAAAAACAAAAAAAGGAAAATTAGAAACTGCTCCCCTGGCAATGCATACATGATCTCCCCTGGACCAGATACACGTCCCAGTAAACCCAACAGTGCTCCACACGAACACATTATTGCATTATTACCATTTCTTACATCATGTCTGTCGGCCTGTGAGCTACAGACACGCAGGATGACAACAGAACCACTACAGGCCAATCGCGCGCTGCCCCACGGTCCTTTTCCAGTTCACGTTTTCTCATAATTAACATAATTCACACAGATTTCAACGATGCTCCAAATTCTTCAGAGGTACAACAATGTGCTTTGTCTGTTCCAGGCTACGAGCACAGCGCGCCACATAAAAACAACTTAACAACGCTGGAGAATAACCCCATTTTCAGGGACTGGCAGAGGATACCAGTGGCCCAAATTACATCACGGGAATACATTTCCACTTACATCACTAAAAGTTTTTACGGCATATTATCTTGTAAGAGTTGAAAGTGACTCGCGGTTTAATCAGCTACAGACCACACTGCAGCGTGCAAAGCTGGATGCATACTGAGAAGCTAACGGCTACTAAGGAAAAACAAAAATTCCCGAGTACACAGAGCTCAGTGTTCAAACTCGGACCTGCCGTGCACGACTACGAGCGCCGCTGCAGGACTCTCCCATCTTTACAGGGACAGTTCACTGATGTGTGTTTGCGGAGGTTGTTCGATTCATCACCACCTGGTTACACGAAAACAAAGCTGGTGAGAAATTTCTACTTGGCTACATTTGCCAGCAGGAAGGTGATGCGCATCTCCTCCGTGGTTGCACCGCGGCTTTGCTTTGGGTTTGCTGTGGTAGAAAGAAAACCGTTCCTGGCTGCTTTACTGGTTTTATTTTTCATGCTGACAGTTGTTCTTTTTTAACTGGCTTGAGAGTGAGCGAGAAGCATTTAGCCCCCTATATTTAATGTAAGGAGGACGCACAGAGAACATTTCTCCATAGTGGGGAAGGACGAACATGTTTTTATCTGCACCGTTACAGGAGGAGCACAACAATCATTTTAGCTATTTTAAGAGACTCATTACACTGAACCACAAAGCTTCCAGGTTACAGAGGAAAAAGTGTAAAGTTTGATGATTGCCTGCTGGTTGTTCACATGGTGAACTTTTCCTGTACAGCAGAACAATAACAAACATCGATTGAAGGACTTGGCGTGATTTTACCACATCACAGGGTTCAATGCATGTCTTTATCCTGTCTTCCTTCTCTCAAACCAACCAATCACAGCAGATGGCCCCGCCCCTCCCTGAGCCTGGTTCTGCTGGAGGTTTCTTCCTGTTAAAAGGGAGTTTTTCCTTCCCACTGTCGCCAAAGTGCTGCTCATAGGGGGTCATATGATTGTTGTATGTATTGTTGTAGGGTCTACCTTACACTATAAAGCACCTTGAGGTGACTGCGGTTGGGATTTGGTGCTGTGTAAATAAAATTGAATTGAATTCCAAAATTGCAAATGCTGAGGATGAGCCAACAGTAAAAACGAGGAAGATTCTTTCAGACAGACGATGATGTGTCGGTCAGGCTTCATGCTTTAATGCGCAGTCTTTATTTAAAATGGAAACATTTTATTGCATGTTCTGGATGCTTCCATCTCATGCTGGCTTATATCTGTGCAGGCACTTTGCATACAAAGCTGCAAATTTTGTGAGCAAACTGTAACTTTCTGAGATTATGCACGGAGAAGGTTTCTGTGTCTAAAATAATCGTTACCACTTTTAAACATGCGATTGCACCTCAACCACACTTATCCACAGCTTCACATCTGGCTGGATGATCTGAACTGCTTACACGTGTCGTTTAGTCAAACCTGAGCGAATAGGACCGACCGCACACCCGCCTACCCAGCCTGGCCTCACCGATGGTGGTAAAAACCGATTTGCTATTTCGGGTTCTTTTATCAGACACCTGTGTTACTCTGAGCTAGCGAGAAGCACCTGGGGAGCTTTAACGTGAGCCGAAACCGACGATCTGCCCGTATAATCAGCCGATTGCTTTTCGACTCATTATCATTATCGAGTTTTGTTTCATTTACAACCCAGCGAGACTCTCACCGAGCATCCACACCCCTCCTTCTGTCGAGGCATATGGGTCTGTGAACTACAGAGCGCCTCAGCTCTCTCCGGGAAGATCTTTCCTTCAGAACGACGAGCAGAGCGATATTCCCCAAATTTCGGGACACGGGGTAGAGATCTTCTTTATTAAATCACAAGTGTAGTTTGTGCATGTATGTTAACTCCAAAGCTTTTACACAGATCCTAAAAGTCTAAAAGAAAACAGTGTGTGAACGTGAGCGAACTGAGAAATCGCCGCGCGATGCGCTCGCACGCACAAACACACAGAGTCTCGGCGCCTGTGTCAGAGGGGAGGCAGTTTGTTCGTATACAGCCTGTATACAAAGAAAAGAGAGACAGCATCAATAATGTAGCATCTTGACTCCGGGAGTCCACAAAGTCCAATTAATCTCAAAGCCAGAGGAACAAAGGCTTTGCTATCTGACAAACAGGACATGGTGTAGTTTGCTGTGCTCTGATTCAGACTTGATAAGCAGAAAAGATCTAGAAAAGAAATGTTAGGGGGCTTAGCAAAGGCGAGTTAAACACCAAAGGTGGCTAAAAGAGATCTTCAAAGGGAACGTCCCGACTCTTTTCGGCTCCTCTGACATTTCACCGTCTCAGACAAGCCCACCTTAGCTCCTCGCTCTGACTGAAAACACACCTTTCACTTTGAGTCGAAACAGATTAAATTTGACTCTGTTCAGCCAAACTGAAAATGCTGCTGTGTGCTGCGCATGCTTAGGAGAAAATACACCGGCCTATGTGCATCACTGCATATGAATGTGCTGTATATAAACGCACGGTACCGGTCTGTGAGTCGTTTGGACCGGACCGTGAGAGTTGAGCCTCGGGTGTTTTTATCGTTAACTCTTTTTTTTGGTAGCGGTACTGGTTTTATTTTGTTGTATTTATCCGTGCCACCTTAAAGGTCGGTCCGTGAAAATATTGCTGGACATAAACCGGTCCGTGGCGCAAAAAAGGCTGGGGACCGCTGGTTTATAAGGTTGGGAAACCTGCAGTCAGCTGAGCCTGAAGGAGTCACAACGCTTCTCCCAGCATGTGAAAGATTTTGCACATATACACTCGGACACTGTACTCCTCACATCAGCGGTCATGCGTGATTTATACACCACAAAAGTTAAATAAAAGCGTCGCCCATTGTTTGAGCGAACTCACTCTTTACGCACATTCAGTGGCTTTCAGTGATTAACATGGTGATTAATGACGTCCTTACAGGTTTATATCTGAGAGCGTCTCTGTAGGATCCAAACAGAGCGGCCTGCGCTCTCAGGAAGGCCCTCGCCACACCACTTCCCGTCGCTGTCGACTGCTTCTTCAGCTTGCTCTTCAGCGAGGACACCTGATGGAAAAGAAAATCGGGAGAGAGAGGTGGTGGGGTGCGGGGGAGAGACGGAGGGGTAAAAGTTAAATTATCACCTCTGAAATTGGTGGAAGAAACAGCTAGCCCATTCTGGGTGTGAAGTATCACATTTGCAGGTCATCTCAAAGAAGGGAAAGGAAAGAAAGGGAGAAGCTTCAGCCTTTCCACCGATCTGTTGTGCTGCTGGGAGCACCTGCTGCTTTGCTAATTGAGCGGAGCACGGGGGCGGCGAGGAGGAGGGGACATCGGCGAGGAAATGGAAACTCGCATTCTTGATTTTCCTCTCTCACCCTCTCCTTACTGCACTTCACCCCCTCCCTCCGCCACCCATCACCTTCTTGCTTTTTTCACCATCTCTCCCTCCTGCTTTCCCCTCCCCTCTTGGCTCTGCTGGACTCCCTCTAGAAGAGGATTCTTGACATAAAGCGTCTTTAATTATTTTCCCCTCTCCTGGCTCTGTCTCCAGGACTCCAGGCGAGAGTGGAGGAGCAGCAGGCCCGAGCTTGTTTTAGGATGACAAAAGATTCACCCCGGCCACCGGGCCCTGGGGAGTCTGGGAAGGAAGTTGTCAAGAGGCTCTCCTCACCTGCTCAGCAGTAGTCTGTGTTGTGGCAGTGCGAGGAGGAGGCAGAGCTAGCGAGGCACTGCTCCTCTCTGTGTGGGCTGTGCCAGCCTAGCACAAAAGCACAATGTTTGATCGGGTTGCGCAGGAAGTCTAGATTACTCTAACAGTGGGCTGGTAGCGCTGGCTTTGAATCCCAATTGCAAAAGGAAAACATTACGTTTAACCTTCAACCTCAATTAGCGAGAAATGGATCGAGTGCACCTCCAAACTTTGCATTGTTTCAGTCTATATTCTACACCAGCGTAAAACAGGTTGAAATACCACCTGCCAAACTGGGACACAAACTGGGAGTGCACAATGACCACCAAGAAAAGGGAAAATTCCCGTTTGAATTAATCTAACGTAGAGTCATCGTGTCGAGGTTTCTCAAACGTACCAGTGTTGTTCCCGTTACTCTCATCCTCACCGCACGCACTCTGTTTATTTGCACACCTCTTAAATCGCTATTTGCACATTTTTACTGTAAATGACGGTGGCCCTGAGAGGCCAAAAGGACTGCAACTTAAGAAAACACAAGAAAAACGCTGCAAAAGCACACAAAACACACCGGAAATGGGAAAACGGAAATAGGAAAAAAAGTTATTTCCAAAAGCACAAGTGTTTCTGGGGAAACAATAACCGACAAAACAGTGGCAGGAACCAAAACATGCTAAGAATTGCGCTGAGAGACACTTAAACCAAGTGGAGGACCTGTCGGAGAGGTGTGTTAGCCTAACTAAAAATCACGAGATTAAAACACACCTAGCATGTTTTGGTTCCTGCAACTGGTCCGTCAGGTTATTGTCTCCCCAGAAACACTTCCCTTGTGCTTTCGGAAATCTGTTTTTCCTATTTCCGTTGTGTTTTGTGTGCTTTTGCAGCTGGTGTTTGTTTAAGTTGCAGTCCGTTTGGCCTCTCAGGGCCACCGTAGTAAAATTTTAAATTTAAAATCTGTAAATTTTGTAAATTTCCTTATTGTAATTTAATGGACGGGATTGCAATAAGCATTTCACCACATGTCGTACTGTGTATGTGTGTGAGACGAATAAAATTTGAGTATCTGCGGCAAAAAAGTCAAAGCGAGGAAAGCAGAAAAACATCTGACCGCATGTTTGCAGCAAATATGATAAAGTGCTGATCTGGTCTGTGGTCGCGCACATCGCGCCGCGGCGTTGGGGGGATTTTGTCATCTGGCATCTGCAATTAGCCGATCTGGGAAACTTCAGGGAGGAGAAGCAAAGTGTTAGCACAGCTCACACGGAGGACACGCGGGGAGAGGCAGAAAGAAAGGCAGCCGGAGAGTGTGGCGGTTTAAACTGGGACAAAGACAAAATGAACAGTGTTGATTTGGCTCCCCTGGGCTTTCTCACTCTCCACAGCGTCCCCGTGCTGCCATCGCAAATGCTCCCAGGCATCAAACAGAAAGTTTATCACGGTTAAATTAACAAGTGTCATCTCCATATTCACTCATTGTGCTAAATGCTTTTATGTTTATGTAAAGCCCTTTTTGGAATTAATATTTAATGTTTATGTGCATTTTCACTGTTTTCCCCCTTCCTCGCAAATCATTAAACTGCCTCCCCCCCCCTCTCCTTTTTGGAGGGGGGAGAATCAAAGCGAACACAATGTCAGTCTACGAGGGGGAGGCATACCCCCGAAGACTGTCAGAGGAGCCGGGATAGTGGAGTTTACTGTGCGCACTGCAGCTTTGAACGGGTGAGAGCGCCGCGAACACTTTTTAATGAGGTGGGGACACAATCACCGTTTTGTTTTTTTACTTCCCGGCGTTTGAAAAACGGGCGATAAAGCGAAGAGTTGGAAGTTTCACCTTCGTTCACGGGAAGAGTTCAAAAATCCTCCTTCGGTCACACGTAGCGATTAATTAAATTGTCAGATATTACAAATCAAATATAGTCGTAGCTGTTTGGTTAATAGAAATGAAAACGCGCCTCGCACGGGAACAAAAAAGAAATAAATAAAACCAACGTGTACGTCGTAATTGGGTTTTGAATATGGCGCCTACGCCACAATCATCAGGTGTGCCTCCGCGGTAATGGCTCTGTCAAACTAATTAACTTCTGCAGTTTGAGTGAAGCTAACGAGATGCGTACAGGCATCAGAGGAAGGCCAGGCTCTACAGGTGATAACCCTATTTGGCAGTGACATTTTTTAGTGTAAAGTCACAGTGGCGGTGATGAGATCAAAGCCAGAGAGTCCCCCATTGGGTCCAATTAGAACTATAGCATTGTACAGGGAAGGGGTGGCAGGGGGAGAGAGGGGAGAGAGGGGAGTGGGCGGTTGTCGGAGAGAGACACAGAGAGAGGGAGAGAGGGAAAAACTGTTGAGTTATGATATTCATAATCTATGCAGAGAGGCCTTTCCAGTACAGGTCTTCTCCCCATAGCTGTGATCTTTTCAATTTACATCAAGGGAAGATGGTCGGGGATGAAAGCGGGGCATCCAGGCGCTCGGCCCCCAGAGGGCAGACACGGGGCCTCATTAAGGCCCGGCCCAGCCAGCCCCAAACAGGATTTGAAGTGCGTCACATAAAGAGCACGGGGTCAAAGGTCAGACATAGAACAGATCTCCATTTAACTCTCCAGCTGGAGATGGTAATTAGCAGGTGCAATGATGATCCCTGCCTGAATGTAAGGGATGATACCTCTGTAGGTGACACCAGGCATCTGTGTGAACGCGCGCGGAAGTCTGCGCTCACGCCGCCGCCTTGATGCATCGAGTGAGCATCAATCAAGGGCATCGCCTCGCACTGCTGCGCACGTGTGCGCGAAACGCACGAGCTTTTGGAGAATTTTTTAAAAAGCAAACTTACCATGTGATTTCCTGTTTTGTAATGTGACACAGAATCAGGTAATGATGACGCACACAAACGTTCACTTTTAATAAACAAAAGGAGAAGAAAAAACATCTGCAAACGAGCTCGATTATATACACATATGTAGAATTTTACTTTAAATTTTTACTTGGGCATTACAAAAAAAAAAAGTCTCAAAAATAACGACCCCGATGCTTCTGTTGTTTTAAAAGAACGAATAAAAAGTTGGATTTTCTTCTCACAAAAAAGGAATGTTTTGTTTAAGAATCTGTCCAGGGAAAGAAAGCCATGGGGACGCAATTAAAGAACTACAAAGAAAAAAATAGTTATGAAAATCTCCCACTTTCTTTTGATGTGCTGCAGTCTGAACTGTACACACACACACACAAATCTGAACAAAGACGCACAGAGAACACACACACACACACACACACACACACACACACACACACACACACACACACACACACACACACACACACACACACACACACA